CCCTAAACCTTAATTCCCTAAACCCTGAGCCCTATTTCCCTGAGCCCTACACCTTGAGCCCTAAACCCTAAACCTTAATTCCCTAAACCCTACTTCCCTAAACCCTAAACCCGAAGCGCTAATTCCCTAAACCCTAAACCTTAAGCCCTAAGCCCTAAACCCTAAACCCTAAACCTTAATTCCCTAAACCCTGAGCCCTAATTCCCTGAGCCGCAAACCTTAAGCCCTAAACCCTAAACCCTAAACCTTAATTCCCTAAGCCCGAAGCCCTAATTCCCTAAACCCTAATCCTAAGCCCTAAACCCTAAACCCTAACTCCCAAAACCCTAAACCTGGAGGCTGCTGGTGTCCCAGTACCTCGCTCCGCTGCGGCTGTGCCCCTGGCCCGTGGCCAAGGCGTGAAGATGCAAGATCCCCCACTAGGGTTTAGGCTTTAGGGTTCAGGGTTTAGGCTTTAGGGTTCAGGGTTTAGGCTTTAGGGTTCAGGGTTTAGGGTTCAGGGTTTAGGGTTTGGGGGCCTCAAAAAACTGAGCATAAGCAGTTTACAGGGATATCCCTACGTACCATGTCGGGCTTCATCATAAGGGGGCTTATATGGGCTATCCCTATCTTATTAATGTTTGCTTATGGATCTAGGCGTCGGGGTTATTACTAAGGCCCCTATTTACGAGGGTTTGAGTTTACGGAACTTTTTAGGTCTTCGGGTTTTGGTTTTAGGGTTTCAGGATTTGCATGTTCGGACTCCGAGGTCGTGATTCTGAGGGTTTTGGGATTATAAGCGTTTTTATGATAGCTTCAGGCCTGGGAGTGTTTAGCATGGATTTCGGTTTAGGGGTGTCTGGGATAGATTTTAGCATTTTAGCTTGAAGAGTTTTCATTGTTCCAAACATACTTGGCGTTAGGTGTAAATTCTGGGTTCTTTGCATTGGGCCAAGTTCGTGTGTGGGTTGCCCAAACCGACCGCTTGAACCTGAATCTTACACCCTGACAGCTTCAACCCCGGTTTTTCAAACCTCCCACTGAAGCCCTACACCTACTTAAGCTGTGAATCAGTCCTCTATGCCGCTCTGAAGCCGTAACCTTGATGATAAACAAAACCCCAGCGAATGAACCTGAAAACCCCCTAAACTTCGGAAAAACCGTAACCCTGCACAGCCATAAGGAATACAACCCTAAATCCTAAACCCCGAACAGCCACAAGGAATACAACCCTAAACCCTAAACCCCGAACGGCCATCAGGAATACGGCAAATTCCGGCATGAACGAAAACTTATAAACCACCACAATGAAAACCCTAAGTCCAAAAACCCTAATTTAGGGTTTAGGGCTTAG